TTGACCTAATGGAGCCCCACCATGTCCTACAGTCCCCTTGGCACAGCCCTTTTTAGGGGAGCAAGGTGCCGTGACTTGGCTCAGAGGGGTGCTGGGGCTCTGACCGGTCACTGCCCTGCTGGATGGCCAAGGAAGCTTACTCAGCCCTCCCGTACCGAGAGAGAGGACAAACCCCCGTGAGGCGGGCAAGACGTTACGCGCCCCTGTCTGCGGGGCAATCGTGGCACCTCTGCGAGACTCCCCAGAGACCTGTTGGGTTTTCAAGGTCAAGTTCTGAACGAACACCTTCCCCTCTATTTCTTTTCCTTAGCAACCATGTCTGATGCCTAAATCCACGTTGGCTTGTCAGTCGGGTCCAGCAACCCCAGGCCAGGCTGGAACAGCTAGGCTCTGGCTCCGGAGACAGCCTGCTGTGGTTCACTCTCATGCCGACTATAGTGTTTTAATGTGCAGCTTCAGCTCTTCTGCTGTCTGTCCCTCGCGTCTCTGAGGTTAAGAAAATGCTACCAACGAGGGCCATTACCGCTGCTTCTCCTGGTCACTGTACAAAGCCGCGTCACCACTCCATTGGACCTTCAGCTATCCCCTTTCTGCTCTTCTGGGCTGGGCCTCCCTTCCGGGACCTTCCAGAATTCTTGGTCTGAACATAACGCCCTAGGGTGTCCTGTGGCCAGCTCCTCAGCTGGTCTGGGTTTACAGGGGTTGTGCCTAGCAATCTAGGGAGACACCCCAGTCCCTTTGTGATTTCCCATTGGGACTGAGAGGGAAAATCATGAGCATATTCTTCAAGGGACATAGCAGAAGCTGGCTGATTATTTTCACCTTCCTCTCCCTCCCTCCCAGCCACTTGTAGTCAGGGCTCCTGACTGACACCTAGGAAGCTCATTCAGACTCTTGACAGAATATCTCCGTGGACATGGCAGCTGGGCCTCCAAACTTTTATTGACTGTCTCAGAAAGGAAAGACGCAGCTCTCTCTGGTCCAGTGGTGCCTTGGTGCACTTAGGACACGGGACACCCAGCAGCGGGGGGTCTGTGTCAGGGCCTGGGCTTCCACGCCTGGCTGACCCCTGGAGGTGGCTGAGAAGCGTGGCCTGTGGACAAACCTTCCCGAAGGCTGCGGGCCAGCTGGCCTCACCCGGCACTATGGGTCATGCTACCTGCTCTGCATTTACAGCTCCGCCTGGCTCCCTGTGGCTTACACCTGCTGAGTTCACACTCTGGGCTTAGGGAGAGTCAGTGATTTGCTCAAGGCCCGCAGCTGACAACAGCTGAGCTCAAACCTCAGCCTAGGTGTGTCTGACCCCTCATGCCCTGGGGAATTCTGCCTGGGTGATGCCTCCCCCACCCCCTCGCCTTGGGGTAAGCCCTTCAAGCCTCTTCCCTGGGGCATGCAGGGGAGGCCACTTCCCACCAAGCTCTGTAACTCTCAGTCAGCTTTCCTGTTACAAAACTGCAGTAACTGATGTCATCTACCAACGAGATCAAAGCCAGACTCCTCGGCCTCCAGACAAGGCGCTCTTCTAACAGCTGTCCCTGCTCTTAGAGCCTCACCTCGTCCTTTCTTCCCTCTCTTCACCCCTGGAGCTAGGTCAACAAGAGGAAACTAAGCTCCTGCTCAGTATGTCTGAAAATTCTAGAAAAAAAGTTGTTCGATTACCTCCTCCCTCCACCAACCCCAAAAGCCACTGAAGTCAACACCAAATGAAAACGAAGCACTTTGTTGAACCTGACCTCATTTCTCATGGGTTCTGGTGTCATTTTCAATTACACCTGGATGGCAGGAAATGCTAATGGCTTTAATCAGCCTCTTATCGAGCTAGACGTTCCCAGTAGTATACATGCTGTGGTAGAGACTGTTCTGTTCTCTGCCAGAAATGAACCAATACATCACCACCTCCCGGCAATTCCAGTTTTACGATTCCACGTATCCCTTCCACTGCCTGAGAGAATGGGCTCTGCCCTCCCGGTGCTTCCAGAACACAGTGGTTTAGACACCTGTGTTTGCTGTTTCACCTGTAGTGTAGGGTAGTTGGAGCACATACTCGTCTATGCTTGGCTTGGACTGCTATTTAGGGAGCTCCTGTGGGCTCCTACTTTCTCCACACACACCCAACCCCCATTCCCATTCCCCCCACCACCACCGCCCCCCTCGGGGTTCCACAGAGCTCCTAGAGGTGTTCCTTAGGCTCAGTCTGACCAGGGCTTACGTCCCCTCCCTAGGTTTGGTTATAAATAAAAGACTGCATGCCGAGGGTGGCCTGACAGTGGGCCTGTAGCAGAATTTTTAAGAAATAATTTCAAGTAATTATCTTGGGTCAGCATCTCTGAGAAGCGGTGAAACTAAGGTTTATGAGTAGGAAGTTTTTTGGAGAGCAGCCACAAGAGGTGCGCCTGGGAGTGACAGAGCAGCACTGAGCTGCGGCAAAAGCTGAGCTGCCTTTGCTGCTGGAAGCTCTGGGCCCAGGCTGCCCTTCAGAGTTATGTGCCCCAGCAAGGGGGCAGCCGCTGTATTGGGCACCCCTGGGGGAGGGGCACGGCCTGGGCAAAGCAGTTCTCTTCAGCTGCGGGAAGGGAACTCATCAGGCCAGCCCTCATCAGCCAGGCTCTCGCCCCTGAAAGGCAGCAGTCCTGATGGCGCAGCAATGCTGAAGCATGTGCCTCTAAGGCCAGACTTGAAATTACGGAAGAAATGATTTGTGTTGTCCCATCATTTAAAGACCTCAAAGGTTTGCAGAGCCTCTGAACACTGCAGCCTTGGGCACAAGCTGAGATTCTGCCCCTCAGTTAGGGGCAGTCCAGGTGTGCCAGTGAGGCCTCGGTGATGGACAGGGTCGTCCCTACACCCATTTTGCCACCCCAGGCTGTCATGGCCTGTGTTCACCAGGCGCAAAGAGGCCAGGAAAGTCAAGTCCTTGACTGCTCCTGGCGCCTAGACCTTTCTGACAGATCTCCAGAGATGGGCTCCATCCTCCTCATGGGAGCATCTTCTGATGACTCCATTTTCTGAAGGTCAAAATACTCATGTTCCCAGAGAGCACAGAAGTGCTAGAAAGCCGTGTTTGTAATGAAGGGAAACTGCCTTTTGCTGAAGGTTCTTACTGAAATGTAGACCAAGAACACTTCATACTACCAGTCACTTAGAATTTGGTAATTTAAAGGTAGCTTCTGAGAAGGCTGACCTTGTGTTGTTTCTGAAAATGTAGTGCTCAGCAGAGTAATAGCCACAGAGAGACCTCTCGACGTTGTTTCCCCTCAAGGGAACGAACTACCTTCAGATTCTTTCTGGATTATTCTCACCCATCAAATAATTGATAAGTTATTTTTTAAAGCAGGGATTCTAAAAAGTCCTCTTCCATAAATTGTGCTTTATTTGTGACGGTCGTTACTAAATCTTACCGACCTGCCTGCATTTTGTGAAAACCGTTTAGAAATGAGACTGCTCACTCGCTTATGTCTGCATTGCCCACGTGTGGCGGCTGAGTGCTTGAAATACATGTTCAGAACGAAATACGAATTGGACTTGCAAGGTTTAATATTCAAAATGAATGCAGAGTGGCTCCGTAATTTTTTTTGTTTTGTTTTGACTACAAGCCTGATTACAGGTCAAAATGTTAATAGTTTGCATATATTGGGTTAAATAAAATACACTTATGATTAATTTCACTTTTTAAATATGGGTACTAGAAAATCAAGAATCCTCTTGTAGCCCCGCTGCATTTCTGTGGAGCAGTGCTGGTCTGACCCGTCCCCCTCAGACACTCCAGCGGGCGCAGCCTTGGTCGCTGCCCCACTCAGCAGCCGCCCTCCATGCTCTGCACGCCGTTGTCCACAGGCGTCAAACAGACATTTATTTCTCCAGAGAAGACACTACTCCGAGCCCTTATAGGTGTTTGAAAAGGTGCTCTACATCGTTAGTGAGCACCATTTCCCCATTGCACTGGGAAAAAGCAGATCAGAATCACAGTGAGCCACCACTTCCTGCCTGGTGGATGGAAAAGGCTGTGGAGAACCGCAGCCTCCCACCATGCTGGCGCTCACTTGCCCACTCCCTGACCTGCACTCCCTGACAGCTTCCCTGGTGCTTCAAATTGCAACGCTCGCATCCCTCATTCGTGTTGTCTATCACTCCACCATCTAAACTCATGTAATGCATCATGTCCATATGTATTTATCAGTCTCTTCATTTTGATGGTTTTAATTCCCACTATTTCCCTGCACCCGGAAGTGTCTGGTGCATATTAACGTTTGAATAAATGAATGCATGGCTAGCATTTTTGTTGGCCCTAAAGTCCCAACAACAGTCTTACAAGGCCGTTCACATTGTTTAAGTGATTCTGCATAGGCCTGGCAGTGGCCAGCGTGTGTGTGTGTGTGTGTGTGTGTGTGTGTGTGTGTGTGTGTGTGTGTACACACCAAGCCATCCCACTGGGACTTACCATTGAAGGGAGCTTTGTGGCTGCAGAACCATTCCACGAAAGCGGCACTGCTGGGGGTCCCAAATGAGAAGCGCCCACTCTAATGTGGGGACATTTCTAGAAAGAGGACCTGTGAGCCACACCTGGTCCATTTCCACTGCGTCCAGGTTACCCTGTGTTACCTGTTGTGGAATCACTGAAAAGAGGCTCTTTTGGAAAACTGATGATAATGGTATAATGTTCAGTGTAGTAGTTTCCGGCTCCTGTTTTAAAGGAATACTAGTGAGGTAAGTCCAGTCATTTAACCTATGATTTCTAAAAATGGATTTTTTTTATTTTTCTGTACGTATGCAACACTTGGGCTATTATTACAGTATAAATTACACGTAGAAAACGATAACATTACTTCTCGTTTTAAGAAATGGTAGTCCATCTGATACATAAAAATGCATGCATGTTAACACTCCATGATGTCATTATGTTGACTGAAAAAATAAATATCATCATTGATCATTTATTAAGAGCAATAATTCATAGTGAAAAGAGTCTGGTATTTCATCACTGCACTTAACTTTTCTTACAGGACAGAGTTCTAAGAACATCAGTTCATCTCCAAGCATTGAAAGTTTGCCCGGAGGAAGGGAATTCACCAGCTCCCCGCCTTCATCAGCTACTAAAAAGGACTCCTTTTTTAGCAATATCTCCCGTTCCCGCTCACACAGCAAAACCATGGGCAGAAAAGAATCTGTAAGTGTCTATGACTGGTTTTCTTTTTATTCTTCATTTTTTCCCTCCAGTACTGTACTTACTAAAGGGTTTTAGTTCCTTGTTTTTGTAAAGCTTGAAAGATTTTTACAGGCTAAATTGAATTATTTCAGCAAAATTTTAATTTCACTATCATGAGTAGTATTTTCAGCTGAGGTCTGTATTACACCAAGTGGGACGCACCAGTTTACCCTGTGTTGAATCTCAAACTTGAGTCCTCCGCTCCTCGGCATATGCCCTTTCACCAAAGACTGTTTTTTCCTGAAATGTAACCAGTACCATTATACCAAAGAATGTTAAAATGACATTAAAACAAGCCAAACTTCATTTTAGTTCTAAATATCTTCTGAAAATTAAAGATAATTATTTCATCATTTGCTTTAAAATTATACAAATTACATTTCAAAGATAATGTGTAAGAGTCTTTGTATACATTACTCCAAAGGAAATATCTAAAACATAGCAACTGCTTTCAATGTAAGTTTGTCTGAAAACTTTTGAAGACAGCTCTGCAAGAAAAAACAGCATTTAGCCCAGGGCTAGTTCATCACCCAGCATTTGAAATGTAAAGCGTTCATCAGCCTATTAGAAGAGGAAACAAAAGTTGGGTGTTACAGAAAAGGATGTAACTGGTGCTGAAATTGCCCTAAGTTAGAAAAAGAAAAAAAGCAACCTGTAAAACCTTTGCGAGGTAATTATTCACAGTGCACAGCACCTGCAGCAGCTTGATACCTATCAGCCTGGTATGTGGCTTTGCGAGACCTCAACTTCTTGGTGCATCAACCACCTCATCCTCAAACAAAACAACATAGTTGACGCTGAAGGGAAAAGTTCATGACATATTCTGTCGTGGTCCCTTTCAATGTGCAAGAGGTCCGATTCTAGAATTTGTAAAAGAGCAGGATGGACCTTTCGTTTAAAGATGGCGGTTTTATCTGAGGCATCTAAGAGGGGAGGGGAAGGAAGAAGGAGACAGGGAGGGATTTGAGTGCAGATGAAAGGGTGGAGGAGGGCACCAGGCTCTGCTGGTGGGGAAGCTGTTGTGGCCACACCTGAGGGGAGAAGTCCTACTTGGCCAAAATATTAACAAACATGTAAAACAATGGTACTTCGCTAATTAAAAAATAAATAAATAAAGATGGTGGCTTAATGTAAGCAGTGAGCTCTGCTCCTCTCTAAAACTCAAGTCCAAGGACAGTTAGGGTAAGTAAAGGTAAACCCTCAAGGAATAAGAAACAAAAGAGCAGACAACAGCCAACATTTGTTACAAAGATGGTAGTGTTAACTAGCTAAACAACCTACGAAAGCTGACCCCAAGTCAGCAGTAGATAAAAACAAAAAACAAGCTCAGGATCTGGAAATACAGTGAAGGTGAAACTAAAGGTATGAGAGTTGTTCAGAAGCTTCTTCAAGAAGCTATTAGATTCCCTTACCTTGCAGTAGACTGGAGATTTAATTCTCTGACAAGTGTGAAACAAATTGTCTCTGGACCTAGGGCGATCAGGCATGTCTGAGTATGAGAATACCCTACTGGAAAAGATGTTATGAGTACATTTCTATTTTAAGATCCCCCAGGGCTCACCCCACATGCTTCCCAGAATATTAGTATGTAGAGAGTAGAAAAGTTTGCAAAAGTCACCAGTTTAAAAAAAAAATACAAGAGAAAAATATAAGAAAACTGGAGAACCAACCCAGGAGGCTCAAAATCTAAAAAAAAAAAAAAAAAAAAAAAAATAGGAGTTCTTGAGAGAACAGAGAAAATGAAAGGCAGTAATCAGAATTACAGTTCATAAATGTTCCTACTGACAGGAGACTGGGTTTTCAGTCTGAAAAGTTTCACAGATTATCCCACACAGGGAAAAATAAGCCCACAGCTGAATACCTCTCTGGAAAGTTCAGAATTCGGAAAACAAAGAGAAACCCTAAAAACTTATGAGGAGAAATATTTTTCCAACCAAAGATGAACCGTTCTCTCACAGGGCCACAGGAAGCAAAACAGTGGAGGATTGCCTCATTTCAAGAGAAAATTATTTCTAATCTAGACTTGCCACCTAGCCAGACTAATTGTGAGGATAAAATAAAACTACATTCAGACATTCTGGATGTAATTATTTGTTCGTAAGCACTGTACTCAGATTCCACAGGAGGATGTACCTTACAAAATGAAAACAAACACTAAGGATTGAAAATGAAGACATGGAGTATGAAGGGGAAAGAAGATTGCTCCGGATGATAATGTAGAAAGAGTCCAGAGAGCAGCCCGTCTGGATTGGAGCTTGTTAGAAGATTCCAGAAAGTTTTCTCCAAAAAGATGAAATTGGAAGAATGACTGATATATTTGAACAAATTGAGAGATTTACACAACTTGGGGTGATTTGGGGTTTGAATTAATGAAAACTTTATAAAAACTAAGCCATTCAAACACAGGATAATTGGTGACCCCAAAGAATAATTATGTCCCAGAAAAGAAAGGTGGTGACAGACCACACAGAGCTTTGAGCTATGGCTAGAAGTTTTGTTGGACATTGTCACATAAGCCTGTTAACTACAAATTTAAGAAATCATGATAAAATTCTGTTGAGAAGATGGGATGTGGGAACTGTCTTTTTACCTGGGAAGGGAGGAAGCCAGGTAGCAGTTGTAAGCAGAGCTAAAATTTCATCATCCATAGTGGAAAATCAAGAAGTATAATATTCTAGAGAAATCAAGAAGTAGTAATATAAACCATCACTATGGAGATGAAAAAAACAACAGGTAAAGCAATTCAAAGTAGGTGCTTCTGGAAAGCAGGAAGTGGAGGGTGGGGCAGTGTGAACTGCTTTTCATAACAAGCCTTGTAGAACCATTTGACTTCAAAGTGTGACATATATAACTTAGATTAAAAATAATAGCTACAAATTGCAACAAAAAATAGAATGTATCGGCATAATAAGCTAGAAGAGGAACTGTCTGCCTGTACAGAAACCATGTCTATGAAGAACCAGAATAACGAATAACAAATGAGGAAGACATATGAAGACATGTTTCATTTGCATTCTATCATATTTTGGTGGCATATGGATTAGTCTGTAACACCAGTTAATTACTTTTCTTTACAGTGATGCCGTAACTAAAAACTGAGAAGTTGAGCAAAAATAGAAATAGCGTAAGTCTAACTCTACAGAGACCTGCTGTGAACCAAGAAACCTAATGCCAAATTATTATTCACAATTTAATATATTTCCTAGCTTGTGGGAAGTAAGTAGGCAGAAGTGTTCAAGAGAAAACCCATGGTTTTTCGAGTACTGGGTTATCTTAATATTTTATGAAATTATGTATACAGTCAGTGCTCTTTTCCAAATCCAGTTCTCCCCAATTCTAAGCGCTTGAGAAGATTACGGCTCCTTGACCCCTGAGATTGGTCGGAGCCTGTGATTAGTTTTGTTCAGGGAGTCGTGAGTGGATAGGTATGTGTCACTCCTGGACTCTCCGTGGTTCTCTCTTCCTCTGGCACAATGAGCAGAGCCCACCTGCCAACCCATGAGAGACGTGAAGTACGAGTGAGACATAAATCTTGACTGACTGAGCAGGGACTGTTGCTTATCACAGCCTGTCAGTGCCCAGCTGGAAACATTCAGGCCTTTAGCTGGGCCTCATTCTCCAGGGGGGAGCTGTAGTATCGCCAGGCCACCAGAGGCTCTGCTCACCTAGCAGCCCGGGCCCACTGTCCTGCACTTCTAGCCCAGTTTGGTGTGATACAGAGATAGTTCCTGTCCTCAAGGAAGTTCAAGATAGCTGTCCTTTAATACCCTCTTCAGTTCCTTGCACAGATAGTTAGCCAGAAATTGAAGCAAAGACCCCTCTTGCTTCAGGCCTGCAATGACAATGGGTTAAAATCGCCATTGAAAATAAACATTAAAACAGAGATAGTCTAATAGTCGCTATCAAGCTAATTGTGATGAAATCGGCTTATAATGCTTCTCATCTAATCTAATCACTATGACATGACTTTTGAAATTAATCTCGGTATGACATACTCTTTATGTTGTAGAATCTAAAGATCGGCTTGTAATACCAAGAGGCATTTCCTCTTGGTAAGACCGTTTTATATCAAACGGTCATATAAAGCCTTTCTGTGATCACAGGCCGCTTTGTGTAGATGAAGATGTGTCACATGTATTCCTGTTAATGGACAGGGTTTGACTATATGGTTAGAGGGCAAAGCTCAACTAAGTCTTTAAAAAGAGAGCATATAAGCCTTGTGCCTAATGTTTATAGAAGACATCATGATACTTCTTTCCTGAAATGTGAACAAACTAGGAGCAAGTTTTAAAATTGACCTTGATTCATAATCAGTGATCGTATTGTTTTAAGGTTTGCTGTTTTTTCATGAAGACGGTTTTCCCTCAGCTTGGAGGTGCTTTTAGGGATTCACCTAATTCAAACCCAGGTTTTGACCAAACTCTTGTTTTTTCATTCTAAAGAGAAAACTGAAAATTTTGATACCTTTAACTTTTCATACTTTATTTTCCATGACGATATAAATGACGCCCAATACTTAGTTCTCTGGAAATGATTTCATTCATCAGACTGTTAGATACTATTTGAGTTGCTCTGGCACAGTTAATCGTGCTCAGTGATAGTTGCCAAACCCTTTCCCCATGGTATCTTTGCTAAAGTTAAAAATAGGGAGAATACTAAATATAAAAACAACTAAAGCTGATTTGTCTTCATGAATAAGTTCTAATATTTAAGCTCATTGGCCAATTTAAGAAAAAAATACCTAAGTAGCTGGTGGGCTGTAAGACATATAATAATTACATATCAGTTTCGACAAAGATGGAGCTAATCTGTGGTTAACCACTGAAAATAAAATTGTTTAAGTTGGGAACCCCTACATAAAATAGAATATGTAAGGAAATCTCTGTGAGAGCTCAGACACAGAACACATTTTTTTTTTTGAGCCATAAAACACATTATTTCTATTAAATGCAAATAATTTT